ATATATATATAAGGCCAAACTGTGTGCCTAACAAATAGGGATGCAATAACCTTTATAAAAAAAGAGAAAAGGTCCATGATTTGCATGTGTGCGAAATACTGCCAACTTGCCCAAGCTAAGACAGGTGAATTTTCTTGAGGAATCCACAACTGGAGCCCTGGGCCAGTTGAAGCCTGACCCGGAAGACAGCGAGGCGGTGTGTAAAAACCGTAATTCGTGTGGGGGGGCGGTATCCAGTTCATCAAATGGACGGGGTCAAACGTCCAAGGTGTCCAATGCACCTGGGTGCCCAATCTAGCCGGTAATCACGGCCCCAACTTGGAAGTTGTGTGTGGTTCGTAAGTCTCCTCATGTTTGATTGGAAATCAGGGTTTTTGGTCAACTCCCCTAGGTGAACTATTAGTGGTCCACCAATCCGGTTATAGCCCCGGATGTCGGCTTTTCGTCCTCTCACGTTGGTTGGAAACACCTCCGCTACCAGAAGGCAGTCAGTAGGGATTCCTCAGCAGAGGCTATTTGAGACACCTGGTCTTACAGGAACAGTTCGCCTGCTTGACCGCGTTCTGGTCCCATGTAACGCATGCACTTTGATTATTGATTCTACTTTTGGAACTTCTTTCACGTTGTGATGCTTCTGCTTCCTCACCGGTTTAAAACTGTTTCCTATCTCTCTCCGACAATGTACAGATTCAGGAAAGGTTAATGAGAAGGATAAGCCATGTGAAGTGCTGAGGTTTTTCACTTGAAAGTAACCTTTGCTGGTCTCTACATACACAAGCTGTTGCTCGCCGGCTGAAAGTTCTGTTCTTTCAGATAAGAAGATTGCTTCACTTCTGTTCTGATTTGTCAGTGATAGGAGTTTTTGCTCAACAATATGCTCTCCCTATACCCTTTCACTGCTCCCTGTGGTTCTCCTTGAAGGCTGGCGTCAAGCTGCTGAGGTGTGGCCTCTCAATGATCCGCCGTGTTTCTCAAGTTCCTCCGTCTGTTCTGATTGACAGTATCTATGATGCTCATACTGATGCGTGCTTGAAGTTTGAAAACAACATTCTATCTGACAGTACTCATCCTTTACACCGGAACCTGTGTGCATCTAAGTCCGATCCCTCCTTCACCCGTTACAAATACAAACTCATCCCATCTCGAATATCTGCCTACAGAAACTCTTTGGCACCCAATAGTGTCCAGATACTGACCGGCAAGGACTGTTATTCATTCTGAACTTTTTAAGGCATTTTGTAGTTCATCCACAATTTTCACGCTTGATGTCCCACTTTTCCCCCGTTTTTCCGGAGTATTGTGACAGTGGTCTGTTTTTGGCTGACAGCTTATATGTAACTCGCTGAAGCTTCAATAAAATACAGCAGAGTAGAAAACTACGCGTGTTTGTTACCAATAAGCAAACTGCCTACTTCTTCGTCCGGCTGTTGTCAGCGGTATAAGAAGTCATAATCAAAATTCTGAACCCACCCATTTGCAAACAGAAGAAAAAGGATTGCCGCTCTCCGGACGCCCTGGTCGCGTCTCATCTTACGTGACCAATAAGGCCATGACCTTAAACAGATCACGATGATGCAACATGGCGTGACAGATTGTGCGCGAACAAGATCACCACAACTCCTCTGATATCTTTCCGTATGATCCTCCAGAACTTGACAAACAGTGTTTTTTTCCATATTTAGCATAATGATCCCATGACATTCATTTTTATCGCACATAAGACGACAGTGCTTTACCACGGCAAAATTACTAGTCTTGTCTCATTCGGATTTTACGCAGATTCAGTCACCTCCACGCACACCACCGCCGCCGCCGTTCCACAGACTGAACTGTGTGTTCCGAGTACTTCCTATCCGGAACCCGATCCGGTCGATCACCTGGCTGCTGTCTTTCCCAGCATCCGAAGAAGTCAAATTCGTGAATTCCTCGATTTGGCTGCCGGTGATATTGAGTGGGCCTCCTCACTCATACTGGAAGGTGTACAGATTGGCGTGGAAACGTCCGATGTGCCTGTTGAAGGCCCCACTTCGTGTGATGAACAACCGCCCACCTCTACGAGAGAGGAATACGTGGAATCCAACCGCAGCTGTCCGGACTTGGAGCCCTGTTTGGAACCGTCGATCATGCCAGTCGACTGCGATCCAGTACAAGCCACTCCTTCGGACGACTCGACCAGTGTGGTAGACAAATCGACCGTAGAAGTGCCTACGAACAACAAATGTTTCTCCATCTCAAGACAGTTTGTTCGCGAAGCCTATGATATGTATGGTTTTGCCTTGGGCATCCCGCCTGTTGACTTGTGTATGTCCGGTTTCCTTTTTAAATTATTATTATCACTTAGTATTATATTTTTATTATCATTCGGTGAAGAACATATCACAATAATCCACAAAGCCCTGCACAAAAGGTGTTGTCTATCGATCATGCAGCATGCGTGATCGGCTCGCAACCCAGATCTGTGAGGTTGAATTTCAGCAAGAACACAAAATAGTGTGGACTGTTGATCAGTCTGAGCAACAGCTGTCCTATGCCTCTATATGGCCATACACAAATTTCTGCGGAGAGTTGGGAATTAGAGAACTTTCAAGGAGGAAGACCCACTCATGAAAGTCAACACACACTTTTGAATTTATCCATGAATGTTTGAGGCTCAGTTCAGTATTTTTCTATGCCTGGTGAAGTAATTTGTTGTTAAGCGCACCGTTCAGTATATTTATTTCATTTTGCACAAAACCTGGAGTTATTCAAGAGGTTTTGAAATCTAGCAGCACGGTTAAGAAGAAATAGATAATGTGCAATGTGGTNCAACAGTAAGTCAGATTTTCGGTGAATTTCGCTAACCGGGCCAACTGTCGCTGAACAGGGTGTAGCTTGACATGCTATGAGGTTTGTCACATTCCTGGATGCCGAATTCAAGGATGATGCGGCGGCGAGGGGGTGTGGTTGTACCTCCACACTGTGGTTACCCCAAACTTAACCGGTGAGGCTGTGGTCCCGTGTTGACCAGTGAACAAGCCAGCTGATATATCATTCATAAACTGAGGCGTCTCTGATCTAACACCGGGAAGAGCCACGGAAGATTTACACTGATACTGTCAGTTTGACACTACACTGACTGGTCACAACGAAAGTCCCCTGCCGCTCANGGCTCTAAACAACCAGATAGAATCTTCACGGGTTAGTGCGCATCTGTTCAGTCCTTGTCTTTCAAACGTGAAAAAAAACAATTGTATTTTATCATTTCACATTGCGTAACCATAGTTAATGCTTCCTGTCGCGTTGTTGTCTGTCTTCCGATTTATCGTTCTGTCTGTCATCCACTTTCCTGTCACCCCTGACTATCCGGAATTTATCAAGCGGTTGCCGCAGTACCGGATTTTTTATTTGACGAATGGCACCCAGAACCGGAATTGGTACGGGGAATTTTGCAAAGTTTTCTTCGATTCCTGGGAATTGTACACCAGCCCACGGTTGCGGGCGGTCGATCAAGCCGATCGAATACGATCACCGAGCCGCCGAAAACCAATTCAAAGAATAACCGTGAGTAGTTAGCAGATTTTTCTCTATTATGACCCGTGCGTATTTCCAACAGTGTGTGTGTAAAAGACATGCCGGTGTCTATCTAATTTGGCCCAAGGTAAAACGAAGCCCGGCGGCTAGTTGTATCGAGTGTTTCAGTGGAAACTTCGTTGTCATCCAGGATTCGGATGAGTCGGTTGTGCTGTCCAGGATGTGCATTATGCATATCCTGCCGTCTTCTACTACAGGTATTGATCAAACTTGTGTAACATCATTTTGAAAAAAAACACTGTATTACATCTTGCTGAACCAGGATGGAGAAAACCACATGAATTTCAACACATGACATAGAGCAGGAACGTGAATGAGTAAACGGAAAGATTAGTCTCTCGTCTTCTAACTTGAGGTGCGAATAACTTTAAAACTGGCTAGTTAGACTTAATTTTTTTGGTTAAATTAAAGGTCTGTAAATACAACGAGTTGGCAGCGAACCGATCACAGCAGAGTGCTTCTGTTGTCATTTCTATCGGTCCACGTTGTTTAGAAAGGTGTGTATACGTACTCAATTGAACTGTGCATACTCGATGTGCACACCGTGTGGTACTTACTTTACTTTACCGCGGCTGGCTCCTTGGAAAGAATAAGCCGGCTCCATGATCATGATCATGAAGTTCCTTGAGAGTTTGGTAAGAGAGACGTCCGCAGCATCACGGCGTTTTTTTATTTTGAGGGCGCACCTCCAGCCTTTGAACAATCAAGAGCGAACTGCAAGGCAGCAGGAAATAATCCCTCGCCTCGGAAGTGAACGGGGTCAATGACTTTATTTTGAAAGGGCCACTCACTTCGACCTTTGTCACGACACTGTCATTGGGCTCATGCGGCTTTTAAGCAGGAGCCAGGTGACCAGCCTGAAACCCACCACACCACCCTGGTAGTGCTGCCGCGTGGTGACTCATTTTCTTCCCTATCCTCCATTTCTCTCTCTCTCTCGCTTGCAAACGGCTCACTTCCTCACCCACTTTACACGACGGTACTTACATTGCAGGCATTGTGAGACGATTCACTATGTTCGCTTCACTGCACTTCGCCGTTCGTTAGGGAATCATGATGACGACGATGTTGAGCAGGGGGAGAATATTTTAAAGCTTATTGCTCCGTATGAATAGAGAGAGCATTGCGGATAAGTTTCGGATCTAACAGTTTGACTCGAAATACATTTACCCAGTCCATTTATCTAAAATGCGTCTGATTGTTTTATTCTCTAAATTATTGATCGGTTTTATAGATAATCTAGGAGTAAAGTAAATTTTTGATTAAGCCTGTTTACTTATCATGAACCGTTTCGTTAGCGTTCTTTGAAACCTTTGAAAAGGGTTATTCTAAGTCAGACTATTTGAATCGCACCCAGTGAGAAATGTGGGGTAACGGGAGACTAGGGATAAGTCAAAATCCCTCCCGAGAAGTCCGAGTGGGTTGGTAATTCGTTTGCTACGAAGGTTGACACGGATTGAATTTATGTCAACTGCGGGATGTGAAACACAACTGGTTATCTTCTTGGTTACCTCGACGATGAAGCGTTGATAGTCCCGTGTCATGTCGTGAGTCATCTATCACAATCCCTTAATGTTGAGGAATTTTCACTTGTAGCTACCTGATTTTGTATCGTATATTTTTCTTAAAGTATCGCTGTACATTGCGGTATGGTGGTATATACAGTACTTCAGTATAAATGCTGTTGCCTATACGAACCGACAAGTGTTTTGTAGGGACCCGTTGCTTCAGTTTCAATTAGACCTATATATATATGTATATATATATTCCATTTATATTAATATAATTTATGGTATAAACTCTATCAAATTTGAATGCTAATTGCTAGTCTGACAGGTTTACTCTCGCGTACGTTTACTTAAATTTTCGCATGGAATAAGGAGTTCCCAATTTGGTGTGAACCTTTAGATTAGATTTAACAGAGCATTTACATGTGCCTCCTTTCATGGCTGTCCGTCAAACGGCTGAGCACGAAGTCTTATGATTATTATTCTCACCCAATCCCCATCCGCGCATCTCGTGGTTAACACTATTGGCATAGTGGTGGCACATACCTACTGTACCGTGGGTTCGGAGTTCGACTCCCGACGGACCACAACGATATGGACTACTAGTGAGAGAAGCTGGATGAGAGTGTTTTTACGATAAAGGTATAGTAGACTGAATGACCCGAAAATCGGGTATTTTAAATCCCATAGCAATTTTACGACGGAAAATATGTTTAATTGTGTGAGGTGTGTGCGTGCGGATAGTAGTGTCGATAATAGTGTAATAATCCAGTTCCTTTTATCCGCTAGATAAGAACTAGAACAAACGTTAGCGCAGGATAAGAGGTGTGGAGATTTATCAACCACCAAGGGAGTATAAATGGATAATAAAGTAAATAGGAGTTCAATTCTTCGAGGACTTCCACCTAATACAAACTCAGTATTTGGATTATGAACCTCAGCATATAGTGAATTTTGTATTGTAAAGAGCAATTAAAGCGTGAACTGAAAACGGGGTAGCACTGTACAGGTACTGCACTGCTGATTTGAACTTGTTCAGTCTCATTAGCAGCACGAAATCATCGATGGAGCGAAAGATCGAACTCGGGACCTCAAAGGTGCACATTAGCTACCACCGGGTGGCTGATCAGGCTTTTTATTCATTTTACCTATGCAAGACATAGCACAAGCTATATTTACGAGCACCTCCACATTACCCTTCAGATTCATGACTCCGTTGTAAACATTCCAAACTTATTCGATGACATATATATAATTAATAATAAGTAGTATGTGAATGACTGGACAAAATTTCCCTGGAAGCACACGACCGGTTTCGCGGTTCTTGCCTCTCGTCAGGTATCCGGTAATCTTTTGTCAGTTCATTCATATACTTGTACCCAGGAAGCGTGTTTTCGTCACAATAATCTTGTTTGCAAAGCCGGGTGACCATTGGATAGACAGCTCTTCCA